AATTTATATGTTTGGTTTTGAGAAACAAGTGTTTCTTGTTCCACTTCTTATAATATTTTGAGCTTTTTTTTATGCATATTCAAATTCGATTCAGATATTTTCTTTTTTATTTTAATTTTTATTTATATTTTATTTTAATTTATTTTTATAAATATCTTTTATTTTATTTTTTATAAATACCATTTAATAATATGAATTTGCTGTATATTCATCTAATTTAGTATTTCTATTTTCTGCCATTTATATTAAAAGATTTATTTCACATATATTTTTCCTGAAATTTGACTTTTTTACATTTGATTATGTAATATTTATAGTTCTGTATTTATTTTTACTATATTTATTTCAAGTTTTTTTATTGAATATTTATTTTGACTTTCAACATAGCCTGCATATATGATATCTTTTTCAGCTTTTTCTATATTTTAATCGATTTCAATTATTCTTTATTTTACTAAATCTTATTCTTATTATATTCTATTATGTGTATTTTAACTTTCTTCAAAATTAATGGTTTTTTCTATATTTTTATAAAATTATTAATTTTAAATTAATTATTGGAATTATTTTTATAAGGATTATAAATTTTTCTTTTTATTTTAATTTTCTATTATTAATTAATCAACTACTTGTTTGTACTTTTTTTTCAATATTTTTTATTTTTAAAATAATAAAGAAAAAATACTTATTCTTCAATTTAATTTGTACCGAATTTTTTTTATTGAATTTTTGTTTAATTATAAAGACTAAAATCAATATTTAGATTGTCTATTTTCTTTTAAATATTTTATTTAAATAATATTTATTTTTGACTATATTCTTCTTATTATTAAAAATAAGAATTTTTTTATTGTTATTTTAACATTTTTAACTTATTGTTTATCTAATATTATAAAAATTATATTTTAAATATAGATCATATTAAATAAAAGATATATATATATATATTATATAAATATAAAACTAAAAATAAAAATAAATATTTTAATTAATAAAGATTTTTTTATATTTTTTTTTTATTATTTAATATTATTCTCAAATACTATTTTTTTTAATATTATTCAAATTTTTTATACATTAATTTAATTTTTCTATTTTATTTATCCTTATGTATTATTTATAAAAGATATTAATGAAAAAATAAACTTTTAATTTTTTTTTATTTTTTTATTTTTTTCAATAAAATGGGCTTATCTTTATATGTTTATTTAATTTTCTGAAATCTTTTATATTTAAAAATTATTTAATATTTTTGATTAAGAAAATTTATTTTTACTATTTATCACTTATATCACATAAAAAAAAATTATAAATTGTTTCTTTTTTTTAAAGATTTTCTAATAAAACTTATTTCATTTATATCATATGTATAAATTAATTGACTTAATTTTACTAAAAAATTTATTATATATTATATTAATTAGTAAAAAAAATAAAATATGAAATATTAATTTAAATTAATATCCTTCATTGTTAAAATTTACAAAATATATATTTCTTTTTTATTAAAAATATAAACTAATTTATTAAGTTTTTTTTTAAAAAAAATAAATAAATTCTATATGAACTTTTTTTAAATATTTATATTAATAATTATTTTATATTAAATTTAAAATATTTCTTTATTATATATCGAAATTTTTATATTTTATTAATTTCATATTTATGAATAAAAATTTTTAATTTAAATTTCTAATTCAAAAAATTAAATTAATTTCAATTATTTAGATAATAAATAAATAAAAAAAAGTATAAAATTTAAAAATAAATATCTAAATGTATTTCATATAATTTATATATTTTATTTATTATATATAATTTTTGATATATTTATTAAAATATATAATATAGTTCTAAAAAGATCAATCTATTTTAACATTGCTTATATTTTGAGCTTTTTGTAAGTATATAGATTTATAATCATCTTATAATTTTTTTAAATTAGAAGCGAATTCATCAATTTAAGCTACAAACCTCATTAAAAATATATTGTCGCCAAAAATTTAATTTTAATTTTTAACTTCCCCTTAAAAATATTGAGAAAAGTTAAATTCTTCCTTTTAAATTTTAATTTTGCTATATTAATCTCTTTTTTTTTACAATTATTCGCCTTCACATTAAAAACAGAACTAATCATCTTATTAATTTTCAATAAACTTTTAACTTGCTTATTCTTATATTTTTTATAAATATTCATAGTAGTTTTTTTCTTTATCTTCTTCCCTTTATTAATGATTATTTGCATTTTATAAAGTTGAACTTCTTGATTACTATTATTAAATTTTATCTGAATTTTAATTATTTTCTGATTTTAAATCTATTTAAGGCTTTTAATTATTTGATTTGCCGCTTGATGAATTTGTAACGTTTTTGACTGTATTAGTTTATTTCTTTGGGTAAAAAAAATTACTTAAAACTAAATATTAATTCACATCGCACATTTATAGAATTAAATTAAAATAATTCTGTAATGATGTCCTTCTTTATGATAAAAATTGTCTATCGTTATTTCCAAACCATTTTTTACCAGGAAATTCAGGTAATTCGCCTTTGTATTATAATTTTAAACATTTATGAACATCTCTCATTGTACTATATCTTTCGGCTATTTCCCATGATTCATTAGTTTCTGTATCTATTACTTGAATTTTATATATTGTAGTACCATTATTTTCTGTTATAAAATCTTTAAATTTAATTTATAATACTTATTTTTTATCCATTTTCAGAGTTTTTTAAATAAAATATTTTTCTTCTTATTTGTATTATTTTAAAAAACAATTAAAATTAATTTTAGATATTTACAAGAAAAACTATTTATTAAATATAATTTTATTTGTAAAAGTATATATTTAAAATATTATAGAGAAAAACAATCTAAAAATATTTTATTTATTGATATTATATATAATTATATATAATTTTAATTAAATTATTTATCAATAATGAAAAATGATATATAAATTAATAAAAAAAAAAATTAAATTATAAATAAATTATTTAATTAAGTCATAAATTACAATATATTTAAATTACGCATTAGTATAATTTATTTTGAAAATTTAATATTTTAATTTATTTATTTATTTTTTAAAAAAAATTGATTTTAAAAAAGTTTCTGTTAAATTAATGATTTTTTTCAAAAAAGTAAATTAATAAATAAAATAATTCAACGTATATATAAAATTCAATTAATATTTATAATATATGACTTGATAAGAAATTATAATATTTTAATATTCAAATTTTATTATTAGAATATGTTTGATGATCTTAACTAATATCTATAAAATTTTCATTAATTTTTTTTTTTTTTTTTTATAAAAAAATATAAATAATTTTAACTTATATTTTCTTCATTTAATTCTTCAAGTTAATCATTTTTTTATAAAAGATAATTATTAAATTTATAATTACTTTATTCTTAATTTTGTGTTAATTATTATACATACGATTAATCAATGTATTTATTTCGAATTATTTATGATAATTTTATAGGAGAGGATTATTTATTTCTATTGGTTAATAGTATTTATTATGTATTACTAAATTATATATCTCGTTTTAAAATTTAGTTTTATTAAGGACTATAAAGATGCTATTGACTTTATGGCTTCTTAATTATTCCGCTTTATAAGTTTCTTTTTTCATCTAATTAATTTTAATATTTTTTTTTTATTTTTTTTAATTTTTTTTTTCATATGAATATATAAATTCGTATTTTTTTTACTATAATGCATTGATTAATCAAATTTACTTTAAGAAATCAAAGGACTTAATTGAGAAGGGTCTAAAAAAACACTTTTTTAAAATAAATATAATTAATAACTTTTTATTAAGTTATTTACTTGGTTTTAGTTAAAAAGTTTTCTAACTATTATTTTAATTCTTAAATTTAAATATGCTATTTGTTTATAGTTTTTAAATTATTTTTAAATATTTCTTGTTTTTCAAACTCAATTTTTTTAATAATTTAATGCAGTTAATAAATTTAATCTTAATCGCATTTTTTTTCGTTTTTAAATAATTATTCGTTATCATCATTTGATTATTAATTATATAATTTATCTTAAATATATATAATTTCTTTTTTTAAATCATGAATTTAATTTTATAATTTATTATTTAGATTATCCCTATGAATTAATTTGCTATTTAACTATTCAACTTCGAATTACAATTCTTTATTTTTTTCACTTTCTTAATTATTATCTAAATTATTATTTTCTTTTAAATTTAACTCTATTTAACTATTTTATAATTATTGTTTTAAATCTTTGTTTTCATTTACTTAATTTTCAAATTTATATTTTAATTATTCAATATTAAGCTATTTAATTTCTATATTTTTTTATAATTCTTAATTATTATTTTCCAATTCTTAAATATATATTTCTAAATCCTTTTAAATTCTATTATATTTTTCTTATAATTTAATAAATTCGTCATCTTTATTAAATTAATTAAGAATATTATTTATATGAATATCTTTTTCTTTCAAATCATTTTATATTTAGTTAACATTTACTTAAAGTTCTTAATTTTATAATTTAAGTTTATTAATTTCATAATTTAAATTATTCATTTGATTATTTTATTCTCTTATTCTATTATTTAAATCTATTATTATGTTTTCTTTTTCATTTACTAAATTATTTAAATCTTCTATATTCTATTATTATTCTTATAATTAATTATTCGAAACTATTTAATTATAATTATTATTTACTTGTAACTAATTATTTGTATTTTTCTATAAGTTTTAGCTTTTATAAGATATTTAATCATTTGAAATAATTTAATTATATTATTAAACATCATTATCCACATTTAAAAAAGCCGTATTTTAAGGAACTTATGAAATATAATCAGTAGACTTTTGATTTAACTTATAAGGTTATTTTTATTATTATTAACTTTAAACTTGCTTTTATTAGTTTTAGAGATTAAGTTCTTGTGTCTCATTTTTTTATTTATTAATGTTTTATTTTAATTATTACTTGAACAATTCTTCATTATCATCAAGTTACTCGTTTTATTATTATTTTTTTAATTCTTGTTCTTTTTCTATTTATTCTCTTTCTCTTTATTCTCTTTCTCTTTATTCTCTATCTTTTTTTTCTCTATCTTTTTTTTCTCTTTCTTTTTTTTCTCTTTCTTTTTATTCTCTTTCCATTTATTCTCTTTCCATTTATTCTCTTTCTTTTTTTTCTCTTTCTCTTTATTCTCTTTCCATTTATTCTCTTTCTCTTTATTCTCTTTCCATTTATTCTCTTTCTTTTTGTTCTCTTTCTTTTTGTTCTCTTTCTTTTTGTTCTCTTTCTTTTTGTTCTCTTTCTTTTTGCTCTTTATGTTATTTTAGTTCTTTTTCTTTCTCTTTTTATTCTTTTTCTCTTTATTCTTTTTCTTTTTTCTCGTTTTATTTTTCTTCTTTTTGTTTTTATTTTTGTTATTTTTATGATTATTATTCTGCTTATTATTATTGTTGTTATTATGTTTATTTTTCTTGTTATTATTTACTTGCTAAATTATTAAAAAAAGTAATCATTTTTTTTTTAAAATTCTTCAAATTTTTATTTCTTCTCTACATATTATTATATAATTACTATTAGTTTTTCTACTATTCCATATTCTTTTTTGAATACATCCTAATCTTCTTTAAATAAAATTTCAGTTTCTATTTCTTTATATTCTTCTATATATTCTTTATAAAATTAATAACAGTTTCCTACATTTTTTCTTGCTATATCTGTTTCTTATTATAATTATACAATTTATTAAAGTACATTTATACTTTATTAAAGTTATTATTACATCCCTATAAGGGTATCATAATACATTAATAAATTTATTCCTGTTTTCCCATCATGCTTTTATAAATCATCTTATGTATAATATTAAAACTTGTCTATAGTTTCGAACGCGACTTCTTAATGAAGGCATTCTTCATATGTTAAAAAGAATTTTGTTTTCTTTTGTTTTTTTAATAAATTTAAATTAATATTTTGTTTTTATTTTAAATACTGTTTAATTTGTATTTTTATAAAACCAGCATGACCAGGCAAACAAACTTTCCATCATTATTTATAATATTGTTTAGCCGTATTTACTTTAATCTTCGTCTTTATAAATTTTGTTGTTGTTGTTGTTGTTTATTTTTTAAAATATTTTTGTTTTTTATTACTTGGTTGTTTACTAAAAAATGTTTAACCAGGAGGATTTTCTTCTCTATATTATATGATTGTATTTTTAAGAAATTATAAAAAGGATTAACAAAATGGTCTTAAAACAGTTTCTAAAGCTAATTCCATTACTTCTTTTATCATCTATTTATAATTATTAAATATTTTTTAATGGTATCATAATTATATTATTTACTAACATGCCACTTATCCTTGATAGAAATTCTTCTTTTGGATTCGAAATTACATATTAGCATGCTTCAATTAATGTAGGAGCTAAAATACTTTATTTCATAAATTTTATAATATTAGTTTTTTTATAAATATTTTTTTTTATATTACGGTTGCTTTTTTACTTATTGCTATTGTAAATCTTAAGCTTCTTTTATTAATTGTTGCTTTATTTCCTCTTTTTTCTTTTTAAATTACTTTTTGTTTCTAATAATTTCAATAAATTATTATTTTTGTTCTTCTGAAATATTCATTAAATTTTATTAAATTAAAAAATAATAATATTAAGTTATAAAAAATATATTGTGATAAATAATTGATTTTATTTATTTGTTTATTTAATTAATATTATTGAAAAAATCTATTACATTAATAATTTTTTATTATTTATTTTATTTAATAAAATAAGAATTCAAGTATTTTCTATAATATTTATAAGATAATTGTTTTATGAAAAGACTATTATAAATATTTTTATTAAATCCTTAATAAGTTTTTATACTTTTAATTTTTTAGATTAATTATACAATTATAAATATAAGAATTAATATAATTAATATTTGAAAAAATAATTTATTAGTATAATCTATTGATAAAAATAAAATATGTTATTATATATTATTTAATTGATTATTTCAGAAGAATTTTAAAAATCCTTTTCCTTTTTTCTATTGTGTTTAGTCTTTATAATTTTATGCTTAGTCTACGAAAAATCTATTAATAATATATATTAATATAATAAAATAAAAATATATATAAATATATATATATATATATATATATATATATTTAATTTTATTTACCGCAATTCTTTACAAAATTGAATTAATGAATTTTTTGTTTCGAATTCAAAATAATTAGTTTATTTTTTATTTTATTGCTTTTTTAATTTATTTATTTTTTTTAAATTTATTTTACTTCAAATGAAATTTGTAATTTATTTTCTTCTTTATATGGAATATAGTCAGTTATATTTTCAGGAGTAATAATATTACTTTCTTAGACTGATTCAATATGTAAAATATAATTATCAAATTTATTTAATCTAAATATTAATTAGCAATTCACTTTAACTTTATTGTCATAGTTTTTTAATAAATTAAAAGCTTTATAGTTTATTTTCATTTAATGATACTTTTTTATTAAAAATCTTAAATAAAATTTGATATAAAAAATTACTTCTTCTGTAACTTTTTGTAATTATGTTTATAATTTCAATAATTCAACTTCATGATTGTGTTAAAGTTATAAAAATTTACTTTTTGTTTATTTTTTATTTTTTTATATGATTTAAAAAATACTTTTTTTCAATTTATTATAATTATTTAATTTAGTTTTCTAATTCTTAATTATCCTCAGTTAATTTATTCAATTATTTTTAAATGCTTTCAATTTTAGAAATCATACTAAAATTTTGTTCTTATAATTCTTTATTTTATGAGTTTAATTTTTAATTATCAATAATATATTATTTTATTTAATTTTCAAGATTTATATGCGATTAATCTTTTAATTCAACTTATAATTCTTTATTACTTTTTAAAAGGAAAAAAAGAAAAAGAAAATATTTATTAATAAAAGTTAAAAAAATACCTTAATAATTAATCAGAACTTCCCTTAGATTATTATTATAAATTATTATTTGATTAGGAAGTATTTTTTAAAATTTTTTGTAAATAATTTTAATATTTTTTTTATAAATCTGAATAGTTATCTTCAATTAACTTATATTATTATTCCATTTAATTATATTTTTTCAAAATATCATTAACTTATTAAGTTAAGAGAATATTTTCATTTTTCAAATTCTATTGGCTTTGAATCAAATCCTAATTAATATTTTCCAAAATCATTTCTTATTATCTATATTAAATAAGAGAAGTATTGGTATTTTCTTAAACAGTATCTTTCTTTATGAATTATATCTTATAATTTTTAAATGAATAGATATGCATTTAGCAATTCTTCATTAAAGTTTTTATCTTTTTTTATTTGTTAAATTTTCTCCTATATATTCTCTTGGTTATATTATTAGTTTAAATTAAATAATTCTTAATATTAATCTTATTTAAAGAATTCTTATAAGTCTTAATTACTTTTTTTTTTTATAAAATCTTTATTATTGATTGCCATTAATTTTGCGTTTTCTTCTATTAAATTTATTATTTGAAATTCTTTAGTTTAAAGTTCTTCGTGATATTATTTTTACATATTTTCAAGGTCTGGATAAAGGTATTATTTTTCAGTTTATAAGAATCTTATCTTTTCTTCATATTCATTTTGTTCTTTTAAATATTTTTTTATGTATTCTTATAATTATTCGTTTTATAATTATAAGTTGTTTATTTATTATTAAATTTAATTTGGAGGCATAGATGGATTAATTTGTAAAGATTTTAAAGAATTCGTTTTTTTTATGCAATCTTAGAATGGTTAGCTTTAAGAAAAAATAATTTATTAAAGGTTTTAAGGTGTTATTTATTAACTGGGTGAGGTTGTTTAGTATTAATGAGTTAATTGAGCAATTTATTAACGATTTTTTTATTCAAGACTTGAATTAATAATTTATAATTCGTAAACTTTTTTATTTAAAGAGTTTATTTATTCTTAATAAAAAATTATTTATTATTATTCTTATTATTAATCGAATATTTATTATTATTTAGGTTAATTTTTAGAACTCGATTTTTTAATAAGAGTATTATTTTCAGATTCTTTATTTTTAATAAGTTTTTCCATAGAAGAATTTTTTTAAAGAATTTCTTTGTTTGTGGATTAAATTTGATTTATTTATTCTTATAATTAATTGATTGTTTTTTATTTTTCCTTATTTTCTTATTCATATAACTAAATGCTTTCTTTTTTTGTTCTATTTTTATTTTCCAATTATTCAATTAAAATTTACATTTCTTCGCTTTATTAAACTAATTATTAATTTTTTTTTAAATACTCATCATTTATTTGTTCCTTTTTTTCATTTTCATAAATTAATTCTTTTATTCTTAGTTATAATTTGTTGTTTTAATCCTATATTTATTATAATTATGTCACTGACTCACTTTTTACTTTATCTATGACAAATTAATTTTCTTATAATTTCTCATATTTCTCATTTAGAGAATCAATTTCTTTTTATAATTGTTGTTTTTCATTAGTCATAGTTTCGGTTTAAGTTTATAATTATTTAGACTTTTATTCTATAATTTATACACATTATTTATGATAAATAATTGAATTTAATAGTTATTCTTTCTCTATTTAAAATTATTTGATTTGTTCTTAAAATTACTATAGTTAAAGGATCGATTGTTATTTATTTAATTCTATAAAACATAATTTATCATTACTTTTGGAATTTATAAGAGTTGATTATTTTAAGTTTTATTATTCAATTTATTCAAATTCTTTTTCAAAAAACTTATTTTTAGTTTCCAAAAGTTAAATTTCTTATTATTAATTATAATTTATATTTTGAAAATTCTTGTTTATTTATTCCAATTATTTGTTGTTTTATTCATATTCCTTATTTTTTTTTTAAAGTTCTTTATTATTTTATTCAAGTTAATATATTTCTTATTAAAGTTATTTTATTAAATCACTATTATCTCCTTCATTTAAGTTATTTAATATGTTATTTTTATTATTATTTTATATATAACTTTAAGTCAAATCCTTAACATAATCTTATAATTATTTATATTAATTTTATAATGCATTCTTTTTTTTTTCAGCTTCATATATAGTTTAATTCAATTTAAAAATTTATTTTCTCAAATCGTTATTGTCTTAACTCAAAGACTCTTAATTATCTTCATATTATTAAGATTAACTATTATTATTATTATTTTCTTCATTGTTTTTTAAAGAATGGGCACTTGTTTTATATATTTTTTCATTTTCTTATATAAGAATATTGTATTTGTATTCTATTTCTTCTATTGTTTCTTATTTGTTCTAATTTTATATTTATAATTCTTTAATGTTTTATTGTAATTTGTTTATTTATTCTTCAAGTAAATTTTGTTGTTTTTAAAATTCTCTTTTTTGTTCTTGTTCATCTTTTTCGGAAGCTTATAGTTTTTCTTTTAGTTGTTAAATTTCTTATGAAAATTAGCTTTTTTCTATTTTTTTTAGTTCTTCAAATGATTTGTTTTGTTATTCAATAGATTTGGATTATTCTTCGAAAAATCTGGCTTTTTCTTCTTCTAAATTTTTAATTTCTTGTAAACATTTATTCCTTTCTTTTTCTAGTTTAATGTTTTGTTCATTTAGTTATTATTTTTCTTAAATTTATTTGCTTTTTTCTTAAATTAATTTATTGTTTTCTTCTTTTAATTTTGTTTATTCTTCCTATTGTTTATTTTTTTCGTCTTATATTTTTAAACTTTCTTCATTTATTTACTTATTTTCTTCTTGTAAGTGTTTATTTTATTCATTTATTTATTTGTTTTATTAATATAAATGCTTATTTTCTTCAATTAGGATGTTATTTTATTCTTTTACTTATTAGTATTATTCGTTTAATTTAAAATTTTCTTAATTGTTTTTAAAATTCTCTTCTTCTAATTTTTAATTTTATTAATGATTTTTATTAATTTATTCTTTTAATTTTTGATTTTCTTAATCAATTTATTTTATTTTATCTATTAATTAAACATTGCAATTTTATAATTTCTCTAATTCTATATTTAGTTGATTAATTTAGTCATTTAGTTAATTATTTTAGTCATTTAATAGGCTATTTTGGTCATTTAATTGATTACTTTAGTCATTTTTAGATTATAAAAAGTTAAATTTATCTTATTATAATTGATTTATTTCTTATTAAAATTTCATATTTTCTTATTAAATTTAACTTATTTATTCTTATAATGTATTATTTTATTCTTAGAAACTATTACTTTCTTACTATATATGATTATTTTCTTATTATAATTAGTTATTTTATTATTAAAGTTAGTTATTTTATAATTATAATTAATTGTTTTCTTACAAAAGTATTTATTAATTATCCAAAAAAGAATTACTTTCTTTATTTTATTAATTTATTTTAAAAAGTAAGTCATTTCTTTCCGCAAAAACAGTATCAAATTCTTTACTTTTGTCTTTTAAATTTTATTAAATTTTTTTAATTTCTATTTTCAAATCATCCACATTTTATTATAAACAAACATTATTTAAAATAATTTATTAATTTTCATTAAATAAGTTTTCTTTTTATTCACTCATTTTATTTTTTAGATCCGAATTTTCTTTTAGAATTCCTTCATTTTGGCTTAAAAGTCCTTCATTTTAAGTATTTAAAAGCCTATTTTTTTATTCAAAATCGTTCAAATTTTCATGTAATTTACTATTTTAAACTAAAATCGAATTATTATTTTATTAAAGTTCATTTATTTATTATTCAAGTGTTCTAATTTAATTTTAAACATCAATTTCTACTTCATGATTACTTTAAAATCTTTAGTTTTTCAATTATTACATTTCCAAGCTTTATTCATTAAATTAATTTTACAATTATTTCAATTTTAACTCATATTCGTTTACAAGTAATTTCAATTTGTTATTAGAAAATTAAAATTCTTTATTTTCTTACAAAATTTATTCTTAAATATATCCAAAAGACTATTTAATCTCATTATTTTCATTTTCATTATGTATAAATTTATCCTATAGAAGTTAGCTTTTTTTGAATTCTTAATACATTGTTTAAAATTAATTAAACTAATCTTATATAGATATACTTTTTTATTATGTTTCACATAGATCTTAAATTAAATTATTATTTTATTATTACAATTAAATAATTCTTTCTTTAGATTGTTAAAATTATTATAAACACTCTAGTCTATTTTATTCTGAAAATTACAATTAGTTTTAATATTATTCATTTTTTTGTTAAATTTAATAGTTTAATTATTCTAAATCACGAATTGTTTTTTTGTGTAAATTATTCAGATTTTATAAATCTTAATTTTCAAGTTCATATTGTCTCATTTATTCTTGTAAAATTTCGATTTTTTCGTCGTGTTTTTTAGTCCTTTTTATACTTTCGTTTTCTTCAGATATTTTTTGTTAGCTTTCGGAAATTGCTTCCTTTAAATTATCGTTTTCTTAAAGTAAATTTCGACTTTATATTTGCATTTCTTCAACTATTTATTTGTAATTTTCATTTGTTAATTGCAATTCTTTATTCTCAACTGTCAATAATTTTATTTGCTCTTGTAAAAGTTTCAGTTATTGGTTAAAATAATCTAACTTTGTATCCAAATAGGACTAATTTTATTCATCTTTGACTAAAAAATGACCTTCTTAAATTTATTGAAATAAATTTGAGTTCTCTTATTCTAAAAAATATATGTTTTCTCGTTATTTTTAGAGTCGAGTTTGCATTTCAGTAATTTATTGTTATAAAAATATTACTTCGAGATTGTATTAATTAACCAAATTATTCTTACTAGCTTATAAATATTAAATTTATTTTAAATATTACTATGTTAAACGATGATATTATTCAAGTTCTTTAGAATCACTAAAATAATAAAATAAAAAAATATATATTATAAAAAAAAATAAAAAAATTATATAACTTTATAAAAAATATATATATGTTTATATATATAATATATATATATATATATATATATATATATATATATATTAACAAATATATTTATATTATTGTTTTTATTATATTATTACTTCTTTAATGGTTAATTTTTTATTTGTTTTAATTCTATATCTAGTCTATTTATCGTTTGTATGAGTTTATCTTACAATTCTATATTTATACTTTGTGTTGTTAAATCCTCTTAATTAAAGCTTTTTTTATATATTAATTTTTTCTAATAATTAATTAATATTATATTTTTTATAAAAAATTTTAATTTCTAATTTTTTTTTTATTCTTTATTATTTTAAGTATTACTTATTCATGCTTTAGCTGCTGTCAGTTATTTCAGAATTATTATCCTGCTTTTTTTACAGTCTTTTATTTAGAAATTATCTAGAGCTTTTTTGTTTCGAAGAAGCAGATAATTAATTAAAATCTTTAGGTGTATTTTTACTTGGAGAATAATTTAATTTATTATATCCTGTATTTAAATTTCTAGAAACACCTTTTATTTTATTTTTATTTAATATATATATTTATATATATTTACTTTATTTTGATTTTTAAATTGATTCCTTTTAAACTGAATTTTATGTACTTGTATTATTGTTATTTGGTGTTTATTAAATACTATTTATTAATTATTTCTATCCAATTTTGCTTTTATCAGTAGTTTCTTTTTTATTTTTTTAGTTTTTTTTTAAAATATATATTAAATATTTACAGTTTATTTAACTTTAATATGATATTTATGAAAACTTTTTAATTGATTGCTTTTTATTAATATCCATTTTTTTTTTTTAAAAATAACAAATTTTTGATATATAATATTGTAAAGGTAATTTATAATTATTATTTATTTTTTTAATTAATTTTTTTTATGCAATTATTATTTTAAAATTTGCCTTTAAATATATTTTTTATAATGTTTATTTTTTAAAATAAAAAAAAATTATATATATATATATATAAGTTTTTTTTTTATAAATAATATTTATTTTTTTCAATTTAATAAATAAATCATTTATATTAATTTAAAATTACAATTATTTTTAATTTTTATATATTTTTAATTTATTTATACGATTATTATATATATTTATGTTTTAAATTATTAAAATACTATTTTATTTTTATTTAATAACAATTATTTATGATTTTCTAAATTATTATATTTTTAAATAAGTGTTTTTTTATTTAATATATTTAATGTAAATATTTTATTTTTTCTTAAATAAAAAATTATATATATAATTAATTAATATTAAATACAAAATATTTTAAAAAAATAATAATTTATAAATAAATTTATATATTTTATAAAATATCTAATTAAAACTTTAAAACTACTTTAATTTTCTTATTTATAACATATTAAAGATTTTTCTGTCATGCAAAATATTACTCTTTCATTCATAATTAGATTAATATTTGTTATTTTTCAATAAACTCTAATTGTATATAATGTTTGACCATAAACTTCTAATATAGAGAATATTTTAGTAAATTTTCTTAATTGTATTTAATCAAGAATCAAGGAGATAATCACTAAATATTCTAATTATTAAGTTTGGGATATAGAATATGCTGTTTATTATATATTTATTGATTAATAATTTTTTCCAATTGAGAATTTAAACCCTAGTAAAATCAAAACACAGTAAAATACTTAATAGCATATAGCAAAAAATAAATAAAGCTAAAAATTTTTTTAACCTATTTATATATATGAAATCAATTGTATATCTGTGTGTTTATTTTCTTTTACTTTTAAATATTTTATTTTAAATTTTTCGGCTATTTCTATTTTAATTGTTTAAGTTTTATTTATTTTATAAACATTTTTTTATTTAAGCTTAATTGCTTAAATGGCAAAATATAATTAGATGATATTTTTTTATTAATATTATTTATCAATATTTTTTATTAATATTGTTTATCAATATTTATTAAAATTAATTATTTTTTTATATAATAGGTTTTATGTTATCGAGTAAACAAATTTTAATTTTTATAGTAAAATTAATCGGTGTGTTTATTATATTTTTTATTTAAATATATTTCTTACTAACAGAAAATAAATTTTCTAAAAAATATAAATAAGCATTTTATATATAATATATTTAAAAAAAAAAAATTGTTTATTATTAATATATTATCTAAAAAAAAAGATTTTATTAATTATAAAAAAGTATAAATTGAAAAAAATAAAGAAAAATATTTATATGAAATATATCAATTAAACTTTTAGTATATTATTAATGTTGTTTTCTAATTCTCTACTCTACCATTCCAAAAGATTCATTATATCTTTATACGAAAATCATTTCAGTTGGGGTATCGTTTAAAATCCATATTTCAATTACATCAACCTAATTATTAATAAAATTATTATATAATTATTTTAAAAATAGAAAAAATAATAATAATATTACGTTAAGTTTAGCTTCTTATTAATTATAAGGAACAAGTAATCTGTTTTAACTTTTAATATAAGAATTATTAGCAATATTAGAATCAATATGTAAAATAATAGAATTATTTTAAGAAGTAAAGTCTTTTTTATTTAAAAAATAAAATAAAATATAAATTAGAATTATATTTTTTTTTTAACAAAAATTACTAATTTCATTCTAATTAAAAAAAAATGTATTCTCTTTTGAATTAAGGTTTTTAAATTAAAGGAAATTCGGCATAATCGAAAATATAGTTTGAACTTAATCTTATTTACTGGAAGGTAATTTAATTCCAAAAACATATCTTTCTTTTCCGTATTATTCATTAGTTCTTGATTTCGCTAACCCAAATTCATCTTCGTTGTTGAAATTTTCTTCTAAATGTCTAATGAGAATTAAAAGATGATATTTTTGAAAAGTATTTGATATTAATTTTTGGATTTTGTCAAAATAAAATCCATCTACTTATGAATTGTATAAATTATAACAATAAGAGAATTCATTAACTTCTTTATGGGAAATATTTATTAATGAAACTGTATTTGCATTTAATAATTCACTATATTATTTCAAGAATCTAAAATCAATTTAGTTTTGGTTATATTAAGTAAGAAATCTTTTCAAGAAATATTATTATATAAAATAATCTGTTTCAGGTAAATTTTCCTTTACTTTGTAAATGAATTATTCAAAAGTCATTTAATTATTATTTTCTTTAAAAAAAAAAAAAAAAAAACGATAATAATATATAAATTTAAAAAACGATAAAATTTATCTTTTTTTTTTTTTTTTTTTTTTTTTACGAAAAATTAAATTATTTAATATTTTTGGTACAGCATCATTTCTATCTTCGAATTTTAAATTTTAATCTTTCATAAATAGCAAAGTCATTTCTTTAAAAAACTATAAACCTTATCTATATGAAAACCCTAATCTGTTTATATATTCTTTATCCTAATTTCTATTTTATATATCTTCAGAAAAATATGAAATTAAACAAAAAAGCTCAGTAATAGAATAATTTTTGTAGTTTTCATTTTATTTTAATGAATTTTAATCTTATAAAAAGAATTCGACTAAATATAATATATATATACAAAAAAAACTATTTAAAAAAAGATTTTTTTATTTTGTTGATATTTATATCATACCAAACTCAAAGAATATTTATAAGGTAACTTTTAAATCTTAAGTTTAGCTAGATAAAAAATCATATAATTTTTATCCAAATTCTTTATTAGGTTTAAATGCATTACGCATTCCTCTTTATCCTATGAAATTTCCTGAAGATCTTGTTAAAAATTTATATTTATTTATTTTTTATTCAAATTCATTTTTTTAATAATATGTAATATTTTTTAATCTACCCATCTTTTAATTTAGACATTTCTATAAAATGTCCTTTTATAATTTCTTATTGCTCAATATTTAAAGCTCCATTATATTAAACTGAATTAGAACCTCCCATTTATTTTTATTTAAAAATATTTATATTGTATTTTTTTTTTTCTCTAGTTATTATACGAATAAAATAAATGTGTATTGTATTTTTTTAATAAAATAAAAAAGAATTAAGAAATTTTTTAGAAAAAATTAAAAAAAATGTTTTAATTGTTATTTTTTTAAAAAAAATAAAATAAAATATATATTTTTTTAAAAAAAAAAAAACTAGATTTTTAATCATTATTTTGGCATTAAACTTTAAACAAAATCCACATAATTAATTTTTCCTTCAGAATTAACAACACATTCTTTAATTAAATCATCTATTTCATCATCTGTTTAAGGTTCTCCAAGTTTACACATATAATTTCGTAATTCAGCTGCGTTAATAAATCCACTTCCATCCTTATCAAAAACTTTAAAAGCTTCCAAAAGTTCTTCATCAGTTACTGTATCTTTCATTTTTCTAGCAACTAAACTTAAAAATTCTGGAAAAGTTATATAATTTTATTGATCTGGTTCAAAGTCTTGTAACATTTCTTGAATTTCTTCTTCTGTTTTGGATATATTTATTTTCGCGAATAAACCTTGTAGTTCCCTATATTATATTGAATCAGCGTTTCCGGTTTCTTTTGCATATTAAATAAATTATTCTTTATATTCTGCTATTAATTATTCAGATAATTGATCTGCCATATTTTTTTTTTTTTAATTAATAAATTTTTTTTTTTTTAAAAAAAATAAATAATTAAGTTTTTTTTTTTTTTTTTTTTTCTAAAAAGAAAAAAATATATATTTCTTTTTTTTTTATTTTATTTAAAAAAAAAAAAACAAAAAGTTTCAATTATTATTAGTTTATCTTTTGGCAAAATTAGGAATTTTTTTAACTTGAATTTTTTTTTAATCACTATTTGTTTTATTATTTTATGAATAATCGTTCATTTGCGAACTTTCTCTACTAGAATTATTAGATATTTAATTACTTCTAGAAACTCCTAAAAAAGGTGATCTATTTTTAACAACAGGAGGAATCATTTATTATTCTTATTTTTCCTAAGAAATAGAACTTTTTTAAGAAGAGTTTTATCTAGAATGTATATATATGTTTCTGTTTTCTTCTTCTTTACATTATATTATTTTCTCTTAATTTATCGGACTAGTGTTTAAAGGAGGTTTTCCTAAATGTATTTTATTATTTACGTTTACTTATGGAGAATTAGTCATTATATTATTTTATTTATATTCTTCGGTTATAGGAGGTTTTTTACCTGGCATTAATCTGAGAGCATTAGATAAAGTCTTTCCAAGCTTTTTTTAAGTTTCTTCCTTATGTTCTTATGTATTTTTATTTTAATTATTTTCTTCCTATTTTTAATTTTATTCTTACTTTTTAATTTCCACTTCTTCTTATTTAATTTTTACTTCTTCTTTTTTAATTTTCTCTTGTTCTTATTTAACTTTCCCTTATTCTTATTCTTATTTGATTTTCTCTTGCTCTTATATAACTTTCTCTTGTTCTTATTTGATTTTCTCTTGCTCTTTCTCTTGTTCTTATTTAATTTTCTCTTGCTCTTATTTAATTTTTTCTTGTTCTTATGTAACTTTCTCTTGTTCTTATTTAATTTTCTCTTCTTTTTATTTAATTTATTCTTTTTCCTTTTCTTATTTAATTTATTCTTGTTCTTATTATTAAATAAAATGTGTTTATTAATTTTTTTTATTAAACTCTTCTTATATTGATTTATCTAGTATTTGTTTATTTTATATTTCTTTCACTTTTTCAAGTTTTTTTTAGGATTTTTAAATTTTTATTTATTTTTGAGAATTCTAATTTGTACTATTTTATGAAATTATTTAATATTAAGGCTTATGTAAATTGATATTTTTTTAATTTTTTAAAGATTTGTTATCTTTTTCCTGATCTTCTATTTGTATTTAGGAGGAAGAAAAATTCAGTTTATCCTATTGATGATTATAATTATTTGCATATTAAAACTATTAAGTATTCATAGAATTTAATAAAGCATTATTTTAATTTTTAGATATATTTGTTTTTGTTTCGTCTTATATTTTAGATAACTTCAGTTCATTTTTATTGCTTTAATAACTGTTTATATCATATTATTAAAATTTTTATTGTTTTACTAAAGTTTTATTATTATCAAAATTTTATTGCTGTGGTATATTTAATTCTTCAGTAGTTTATTTTTTTATTTAATTTATATTTTTATTTATTGATGTTTTTAAATTATTTAAATCTTATTGTTTATTTTATTAATATGATTATTAATTTAAAGTTTATTAAAAAATTGTGTTTTTCTATTATAAATTATCTAATAATGAATAAATAGTCTATTATTAAAATTATTATAAGTTATTATCATAATCGTTATATAGAATTTATATTAATATCATTATAATTTATATTTGATTATTATTATTATTATTATTATTATTATTATTATTATTATTATTAATATTATTATTATTTTATATCATTTTATTTTATATTTATATCGCTTTATTTTTTCTCTAGTCTAGTTTATAATATTTTTTCTTATTATGTATTTTTATATTTTTATTCTATATC